CAATTAGAAATTAAGTGTGTATTTTTATTTTGATGTATAAAGGGACAGAAGTTTAATCAATGTTATGCAATATAAAATGATCCATTTTAGTCACTGGATGGCAAAAGAGAATTAGACGAACTTGGTCATGCTAAATGTAAATGATAGATTTTGTCCCGAATCAAAATTAAACCACAAAATTTCCAAATCTATAGGACCAGAGTTTCTTAACAAACATTTTATGAACGTTTCTGAAACGCATAATCACAATACGAGACAAAGTAGGCCTATTCTGCTTTGTCTCGTATTGTGATTATGCCTTTCAGAAACTTTGTAAAATCTAAAATAACCAGTCAAAATAGTAAGACAATTATGTTACGGCTATACAATAGTGTAAGAAACTACGGTACCCTATAATGATCAAGTCTTTACCAAGTTTAAATATATTCAAAAGTCTAATGAAATTGCATTCAGCAGCAAAATCTGAAATAACAAACAGTTAGGAAATTGTTTTAACATAAAAATATATTTTAACAGGGAACCTTTCTTCTTTTTTTTACCTGCTTTTTTACATTCATCTTTACGTACTTTATAAGGTTTTAAAGGTTTACTTGTTTTATAGGTTTTACTTAATTATAGTAAAGGGTTTCTAACTACTTTCAATATTTGTTTCATTTTTTAATCAAATTTTATAACCTTGAAAACTTACAATTATAGAATGGCGAGGATTATAGGGCCTAATATAGTAATTTGAAATAACCTATTTTTTGGCGTTTGTTTATGTGTTATTTTGAATGTTCTCTGCAATGTTGCTGACAAATAATAGAGATCAGTGTGCTGGAGACGTATTCAGGCTTTTGAATCTTTATTCTAAACACTCGTCCACGACCCGTCACCATCCAAAACCAAAGATCATATAGCGCCGCTACGATCGTAGCGTAGCGGCGCTATACGATCTTTGCCAAAATCCTGTCCTCATGGCTGCACTCCGCGCATGTTCTACAATAGGCCTACGTTTTGCGACGTCACGTAACTTTTTTGAAATCTTCAATAAGTTATGCTTTGTTGATGTTTTGCCATTTTATTGTAAAAAATTTATTTTTGGAGTTTTTGATTCGTGGATATTTGAAATATTTTTCTGTATTACCTAAATTTTAATGTGACTGTCTATATTTTCTTTATAATTATTGTGCAGGACCATTGTTAAATACAGGCATTAACATCTGCCTGAAAATGTATATAGGTAAAAATGTTTTAAATAAATAAAAATAAAGTAAAAAGTACCAAATTCTCCAAGAAATGTAGAAAAAGAAGCTATTTGTGGAGATATAGGATGGGAATCTATTGTACAATCCATAACAGATTTAGATTAAGTTATTATAATAGGCTAACAATTTGGATGCTAATAAATGGCAAAAATTACTTTGTAAATGTTTAACGGAGGTCAAACTTAATTTTAAATGGAATCAATTACTCACATACAAGAATTATCGAAATTTGGTTTAAATGAGTACTTAATTTCCGAAGAAAATAATTCCTGGCTCCATTCTACATATGAAAATGCCAAATCATGGTATGAAAGAGCAAAATCAAAATCAACCTTATCTGATTATGTGAAATATAAAGGTGAACCGAAATCAGAGTAGGCCTACTACCTTTTGATAAGATACATTCAATTAGTCTAAATTTGAAACAAAAACTCATTAGATCTGGGTGGTAGAAAAAAAAAAACAGATGGTTCAACACCTACTCAGGTTTTTGTAAACTTTGCAAACGTGATGCTATTGAAAGTACTGACCATTTTCTTTTTGTATGCAAGTCTCAACTCTATCAGAGAAAACAATTTTAACCTTAAAACGAGCTGCTATTGTGGCTATCAATCCGATCTGGGATGATTTTGTACATGGTATTATTGAGTTCAAACATCATTGCACCTTTTAGTTAACGATTTTTATACATCCATCCTAATGAAAGATTAGGAGGAATTGTAGATCGCCACTTTTAAGAATATCCTGCTTGCTTTGTGGAGAGGTAGACCAAATTATGTTAATTACATTACTGCCCACTAACTAAATTTTTACGAAGCATTAAAAATTTGTCTTATTACGTTTTTCTCATCTTGGTTGCTTTGCCTTCGTGCAAACGGGTCATTCTCTGTGTGTCACTCAAATTTAAAAGCAAAATTTACTTTATTGTTGTACTATCTTAAACAATCGTTAATACTGATTCAATTCCTCTTCACAAAATCGTTAGGGTGACTAGCCTCCTTCGTTTTACCGTGAAAAAAAAACCCCAACATAATGGTCACTTGTTTTGCGTGGGTGTTTTCGTGTGGTAAAACATACACTTTCTAATTTTAGCTTACTTCTTTTCAGATGCCAACTAAGATCGTCCAGCAGTCTACTAATTTTAAAAAAAATCTCAAATGTGAAGGGATGCCCCTCACAAACACCCCCTCCCCCACACTCGGGCCTTCTCACCTCCCATTATCCACCCCCATTGCTAAATCCTAGATCTGCCACTGAGTTACCTCCGCAAGGAAGTTATATTTTCATTCAATTTTTCTTTGTGGCCTGGGCTTGTGTGTGTGTTTGTGTGTTTGTATTTTTTTTTTATGGGTTTGTTAGCAACCTCCTGCCTACAGTTTCAGGTCTACACGCGTCAGATTCTCACAGATGATTTCTGATATTGAATGGAAGATTATTTTTATTTTGGTCACGAACCGGAGTAAGGTGGGTGTGGATGTCGGCTGGGGTGTGGGGCCTGGACCAGCCCCCTTCCCCCGTCTTGGAGAGCTCCCCCCAACTCGTCGAGGAGAAATAAAATGTATATGTATTTTCTATAAGTAGACTCTAAAATCGATTAAACAACTCTTTAAAACCCCTAAATTATTGTCATACTTTTCGGGGGAATCGCCCCTGGAACACTTTCGAGGGATTGTGAGCGACGCCGACCACGCCCACTCTTTTTCGTTGAGGACATCAAATTCCTGGATCCGCCACTGATCTGTATGAAACTTTCTGTAAGTGTTAACCAAGTAACAAGGAAGTCATTTTCAGTTTAAATTTTGGAAATGATCCAGATTCAGGTGTGAGTTGGGGGCAGGGCGTCATTTAAAATGTTAACGCCCTACATATAAATATCTCAAAAACTGATCACTTTATCTGAATGAATTTTCTAGAATGGTTTGTCATGTACAAAGGAAGAAATTATTATTTTGGACGATCCGAGTAGGGTGAGGATATGAAGAACATTTAAATAGAACAAAAGAGTTTTGCAATTTCGGTGACGTTCCGGAGTAGGGTGTGCATGTGGAGACCCTTAAAATGAAACGTCCCAGACCTAAATATCTTAAAAACTTATCAATGGATTTGAATGAATCTTTCTAGAATGGTTTGGCATGGTACAAGTAACAACAATGATTGAAGGCTCTCAACGGCTACAGGATCGCACATCCAAAAACGTATTATTGTCACAGGAATTGGTTATGAGGTTCTCTTTGTAAGCGACAGGTCCCTGGCTCGAATGATGGTGGAGGTTGATGCTCTATTCTTTTTTTTTCAAAAGGAAAATATGCGTGGGAATTTTTATACAGGGGAAATTATGGTGTGGGCGGAGGTATACTCTCGGAGTGCTCTGTTCCCATTATTTTAAGCATTTCTTTCAGTGGCGGCTCTAGGATATAATTTATGGGGGGAGGGGGGCTCAATATTTATAGCTGTAACTATAGCGCGAGATTTTTTTTTTTTTTTAATTGGGACTTCTAGATGGCCGGAAATGGCTGGGATGGGAACTAGGCCTATTTTTTTGTTCCGACTGCCCGACGAGCTTTGGCCGATGAGGGGTGGGGGGTGTTAAGTCCTTCTGCCACCCCGCTGGCGCCGCTACTGGTTTCTTTCATTAATCTTGCGCAGTAGGCCTCTGCCATCTGAACGGTATCCTCCCAGTTGGCCGAAATCCAGTTTGTCGAAACCTGGTTTGCAGAATTTAACCTACTTTGCCAAAAACCCAGTTTGACGAATCCAGTTCCTCAAAAACATGAAATCCCAGTTGGCCGAAACCCGGTTTGCCGAATTTGAGTTTTGTCGTCCATTGTACAAAAGCGCAGCACAATTTTCAACTAAATATAATTTAAATTAAACGGTAATTATTGTAGGCGAATCCGAATGTAAACTCGGACTTAAAAACCAAAAAAAAAATTAGTTGAAGACCATCAAAAGGGCTTCCTGTTGCTCACCACTCTAATTTACCGAGCCATACTATCAGTGATTTATGCTTTATAATCTTAGGCGCCAATTTCAAATCTACTAATAGAGGACTGGGCGGATACCCTCGCGACATCTTCTAGCCTTAGTAGATCTGAAATTGGCGCCTAAGATTAACTAGCCTAAATCACTGATAGTATGGCTCTTTAATTCGAAATAGTGAGCAATGGGGGGGGGGATAAGCCCTCTAAAGATACATGTTTCACTATTCCAGCTGCCGGACATTCTTCATATAATGTTTTGAGGCATCTACTGATTGATGACCATCTGGTGAAGGGCGATGCCCGAAAACGTTTGTGTTTTTACCATTAAAA